GAAGCCCTGTAGTGCGGATGTAAGTACCACTAAGTTACATTTTTCTGGTGTATTTTAATCATGTAAAAATTTTACCGACAGAAAGCGTGAGCCATTCCCTCAGCATTTGAGTTTTAAGTAGGATTCGACAAAAAATACATTATACAGGAACATCCTTTACCTTGCCCCTAAAGCCAGCGACAAACTAGACGATTTTATACAATCATCCGGCGACTGGGAAAAATCACCCTCTGTGCACACTGCTACTAACGCGTGCTTTCACTAGCATTTCTGATCTCCGCTACGAGCCTCGAAGTCGTCGATATGTCTGACATGTCAAATATCATCTAAAATTTCCGAAGGTGATTTTGCAGCAGTCGATGAGCGTGTTAACAGCGAATTGCGACGAAATTCGCTTGCGATTTTCGCTAGCTATGAAAATCGCCGCAACAACGCATTGAATCGACTGGTGTGTGGCTGGCTTAATATCACTTATCTTCTACAACCTGCTCGAGAGATATAGAGGATATTACATGCCCGCGCGTGGATACGAATTTTATCTTCGAGAGTTCAACTCGATATCTCACGAGTGAGCGCAGCCAACTCGTGAGATATTGAGTTGAACACGAGAAGATAAAATTCATATCCACAAGCGGGCATGTAATATTGTGTTTATTATATAAACATACTAATGAGGACGTTTTGACAATTCTCCGAAGATTTCCGACCACTTTCCGAAGATTTCCGAAGATTTTCCAAAATTGTTCCGAAGGCCAGGTTAACGCTTCCGAACATTTTCCGAACATTATCCGAACATTATCCGAAGATTGCAGAAGAAGACCGAAGAAGATCCGAAGATGTTTCGATCATACATCGACAAATTTAAATGTAATTAAAGGGAGAAAAGAAAAATGTTATAAAAAAGGAATGATATCTTCACAGTGTGAGAGATAAAAATAGTATCTTCACTGCGCGTGATGAAGATATGATTTTTTAGTAAAAGGAAAAATCCTGGTATTTCACTGGTGTTTATGTAATAAAACTGAATATTATGTTTTTTCCCTGCAGATTTCAGAGGACGAAGAAAACGAAAAAGACAAAAACTAGGAGTTGTTCAATAATAAAAATCGTCTAGCCGAATAACAGTTCTTGTCGTATACAGACTTATTGTGAGTTCCCTGTTGTA